TCCTTCATAAATAGTTTGAGAAGGCTAACGTGCAGCCGACTGAGCAAAATCGTAGCCCAAATGTCAGTTTGTGTTTGTTCCGCTGCGGTGAGTCGTTTCTTGTATTAGGCTAGCATAACGTTCAACAATTAAAAGGCAAATGGTCGGTTTCCCTTCGCAAGTCGTTTGCAAAGATTTGTCTTTGTTAATATACCGAAAACAATGACTACGTAAACGAATTCATTTTAAAGTTTAGGAGAGCCCATTCTCTGAATGAACTGAGAAAGAGAAAATTCTTTTTTTTTTTTTAAATTTTCAGAACCTGGCGCTGAAAAGCTACGGGGAGAGGTAATTCGCGAAGAAATACTGTATATAAAAATATCATGCCATTAAAAAGAAACTGAAAACTGATATGAAAGTTATAATTTAACAACTGAAACAATTTTAAGTGAGTTTTCTCATTTCTAACGATTATACGAACTAGTTTTTCTTAAAATGTCATCTACGAAGATCTCCCTCCCCATAGACAAATAGCATTAATTGCGTAACTGACACAGTTTTAAGCTAAACAACTACGAAAGGTCTATGAATTTATAAATTATTCTTTCAGAAATATAAGATATAAAACATATGCAAAGGTCTTCAAGAATAACTGATTGAATATTATTAAGTCTCTCTGTAATGTACAACATTTTGTGAAATGGATTGAAAGAACATTTATTTAACACCATCAAATCTATGTACTAGTTGTAGGTACGTAATACATAGAGATGCACTCGTGCATTCTGCCAGAGATTGCAAATACAAATTGATAAATAAATATGTACCATACTATATATAGTAAAACATTTTGCCAAGCCAATAGAATTATAGCCTATCACTAACATTCTAAAAATAAAACAGCATAGGCCGGCTAAAAGATCCCTTCCCGCAGAGTCGTAGCTAGGGTTATCAGCGCCCAGGGACAACTGAAGATTTCGCGCCCCCTACTGCTTGCCAAGGATGGAAAACATTTAATTCTAAAATGTCGTAACATCAGTTTGGCTCCCCTTCGATTCTGCGCCCGGGGGCATATTTCACAAGTGCACATCTGTGTAGCCACCGAAGGTGTGGTTTCTAGGATGGACCAATGGGCATCCAGTAATATTCCTGTCATGTCACATGACCTTTCGCGTGCTTTAAGATTTAAAGCAAGATGGCTGAAAATTCTGCCACGTAATTTTATCTGATAAATATTAAGCATTGCCGATTCTTTTAAAATTTTTTATGCGAATTATATCAAACATAGGGATTTGTGAAGATTTCATTACCTGGTTGAAAGAATTTGAAATAAATACAAACAAATGTTGGATACTCCGCAAAAATATCCATGTGATATATTACTTAATAAACGGTAAATAAGATGAAGAAAGAAATATGTGATAAACATCTGAGCCCAAAATGTTATCTTTACATAAAACTATGAATATGAGAAAAATATTTATACCAACTGCATAAAATATTTATACCAGTTTTAAATAGAATTCAGGACTTTTTATTGCCGTCTATATGAAAAGATGTTCTAATAACCAATGCAGAATTTTATCCAAAGTGAACTTTACTAATTTGGATTCGTATACATTTGAGAGTGTTAACTTTTACATTTAATAACTGCTTACTCTTACTTGTACTGCCTACACAAGAAATACTCATCAAACTGAATGAATTTATCTTATTCACAACGAATATATTAAATTTATTCTCTTATTAACTTTTACTATTAATAATGGATATAATCAGATCATACACAATATGTATTCTGAATCTTACACTTTAAAATTCAAAAGAATACAAGCACTGAAATAAGAAAACACTAGATTCATTGTAACACTTCCGGTCCAAAAAATTATACACTTGAATTCTCTTAATCCACAGGTGTTAGTAAATGCATAATATTTGAGGCTAATTGTAGCTTGAGTTATTTTCTCGAGGTAAAGAGCGATAATAAGCTGTGAACATCAATCCAAATATTAATGCATGATAAAAATCGCGAAGAAATGTCAGCGATTAATTAAACTCATAAAACGAAAACACTACGAGATATTCTATTATTACGCCATACATTTATAACTGCGAGACAAATACAAAACATAAACAACATAAGCTCACAGGCTTGAAGATTTAGCGTCAAAAGAGCAATAGAAGCTCATTGGTCAGTTTTCGAAATCCCTCCCTCAGTGGCTACGCTGATGTGCACTTGTGAAATATGCCGCCCGGGGACAGATGCCCCCCTTGCCACCCTCTAGCTACGCCCCTGCCTCCCCGTAATATTTAGAAAACGATGCAAAATCACTTTAAGTTTATTAGTGCAGATGTACGTCGGATTGTCTGGCTTCATTCAATCCAATTCTATTAAGGCTTAATTCCTAAAATTAAAAGTGTCAAAGGGGCATGAAAGCACATCAGGAAAGATAAACAGAGATAAGTTAATAATACAACCATAAACAAACGAATACGTAAAAATTTCACAAAAATTTAAATGCAATGAGATAATTGGATCGATCGCTTCATTACAGCAAAACATACTATGATTATTTACTCCCGTTCAACATTACCTGTTCTACTGGGCCGATTGACGAAATTCAGCTTGCGTTTTTCATGTCTCGAAAGCCCGACTTAGGATATGTATTAGATTTATATATAGCATTGTTTTAATATAGGTATTTTGACATAAAATTGGACTTTTTCTGAAATGACATTTCAGTTTTTTTTTTTTTTTTCCATATTTCGATTCTACGACTCAAATTATGCCAACTGCCAAATTTTGTAAAAATCGCAGTAATGTAAAATGTAAATGAGTAGTTTTTTAAAAATTAGCTCTCAAAGTCTTAGTTTCTCAATGCTAAATGAATTTAATATATATTTATTAATATCTCTTTTTTTATTACTTTCTTGTACGAAGTAAAAAGGAAGTATTGTAATCGCGAACAATTTCGGGTATCATATTTCAACGAAAATATCCATTTTCACTGCTATCGAATGCAATTTAAAGATGTTTTTGGGTGACATCCGTACGTAAGGACAGAATAAAAGACTCTTTTCCGCAAAAAAATATTATGAAACTGATTTAAAATGAGTTATGAGTCTGATTTAAAAGAGATTTTTTCTTGGCGTCCGTACGTACATAGCGTATCTCGCATAACTCAAAAATGAGTGGCCTCAGAACGTTGAAATTTTGGACGTTGACTTTTTGGACGATTTTGAACGTTGGACTGCTATAGCATGTAGATATGCACCTCCCATTTTTGTTGCAATCGGTCGCACCCAAAGTATATAAATGTATGTAAAGTGGCTCCCAAAAGTGTTCGTACACTTGTGATTTTCATTGAAATAGGGCTCTATCCATTAATTAAAAAGTAAACTTTCTGAATGAGATTTTAATACTAAGATCTATAATCTCTTCGCAACAAAATTACATGAAATATTTTTAAAATATAGCGAAACTTTATTTTTAAGAAATTCAGAAAGTTTACTTTTAATTAATGGATACAGCCCTATTTCAATGAAAATCATAAGTGTACGAACACTTTTGGAAGCCACTGCATATATATACATTCTGTTATTCGGCTCAGTGAGCTCAGTTTCTTTATTCTTATATGTTTGTAAATTGTGCACTTTTTGCTTTAAAAATGATTGAATTATGTTGTTCTCATCTTCCGGTTAAGGTTTTTATGCCTTTATTTAACCTGCATGCAATAATTGTAGAATTATCAACAAATTTAAATGTTTTTTAAGTGTGGCTAAGCCTAAATTCTGTTTAACATGGCAGCCATATCTGTTTACATTTGAAACTTAAGCAGAATAGTGGATTTATTGCCAATCTAGAGAAATTAAGCTTCGCAACAACAAAGTAATATCTTCTTTTATTATTGCGAATTAAATTACGCTTAATTCATTCTGGAGTTATCATTTAACGTATTAGCTCGTTTTTGCGTAGAAACTGTAATTCTAATTGTAAAAATTGTTTTTTTTTAATTGTTTTAACTGTACTTGGTGTTTTACGTTTTTCTCTATCTTTCCATTGTTAATGAAAATATTTTGATTTTTCATGTACTTTTGCCTTGCCGCGACATGAGAACTGAATTAGTTTGTAGCGCATGCGCATTAGGTAAGCGGCGCTGAATCGTCTGTGAAAAAAAGTTTCTCTTTTATTTATTTAATTTCTTTTATACATCTTCTTAGATTTATTATTTATGTATTTGAATATGTGGTAATTCTTCAGATGATATAATTTTTGTGCAGTCTGAGTTATAAAATGATTGAGATGTAACGCTGTTAAGTGAACCTAGCCCCGAAGTGCCGCTGTGGTAAATAAATACAGTGAACTTTAAACAGTGCATTTATTCTATTGTGGTTTAGGCGCTATATCGCAGAAATAGATTTAATTCAAAATTCGTTAACTGTTTAATATGTTTAAATAAAATGCAGGAAAACTGTGTGTAATTTAATATCCCGTACAAGAAAGTGATGAGGTCGGATTTTTAAACTTACTTGATTCCTTCTTCCAGAATTAGAAATTTAGATTTAATCCAAATATAATTCGTACATTTTTTTATTATTTATTTAAAAAATTTGCATTTTTAAATATTTCAAATAAATTTTTTGCAAAATATTTTGAATTATAACCTATAAAATTTTTAACATCATCTTAAAGAAGACGTACTTCTAAGCATATTTGCAAAAGTTACAGTTTTTTATTCAAATTTTCCTAAGATACATTTCAATTTACATTTTGGCGCGTTTTGAAATTAGGCGTATTTGATATAAGTGATAATAACGAAAATGTGGTTTACGCATTTTAAGCTACAAAAACCAACCATGCACAGAGCCCGCTCTCCTGAGTTTGAGCCCAGGCCTCCCAGCTCGAACTAATTGTATTTAGTGGTTTTAACCCACACGCCCACTGATGAGGGAAGGGAACTCCATGACAGAGTAAATTTGGTACATCAGAAATATTTTAATACTTTTTCTTTTCCTTTTAGGTTTCCTGACATGGTCCAAGCGAGCAGTCTGCAAGTACGGTTGTAAAACTAACACCTTTGTTGACATGGCTCTCTACTACAACTTCATTTGGCTTGTTATATTGCGACCATTAGCCATACTACATGCACTCTATATGCAAACTGGAGAATGGGGAAACGCCTTCTACATGGACTTTGGTAGTCATCTTGTCCTAGCTTTCTCTGCAGTTTTCAGCCCATTTTCCGTCGGCAAACCGTCTGCACCTACAGAAGAAGATAGAATCACAGAGACTATAAATCCAGTCATTCTCAAGAAGAAAAATAAAGAATCGGAAATGGTTCTTTCCGTGCCAGACGTGTGTCCATCAAGCAATCGATATTATGGCGGAACAGACTTCCTATCCGCAAATGTCAATAGAGTGGAAAGCTATGAAAATATAAATGAGGTGAAAGAAGCAGCTGGTGCTGATTGTTCGGTAGCTTTGAAGAACAAAGAGAAACCAGGAGAAGAAAGCGTCTGTTGATCGAGGGTATAATTAAATAACAATAAAAAAAATAGCACATAGGACACAACTATTTTTTTAAATAATCTTTTAGAATTACAATAATAATAATAATAATAATAAAAAACAGCATAATTCCGCGCTTGTATGGGGAATTGCATCTCTAAGGTCGCTCATAGTTATAAATGATTATGTATTAGTTAACTTATGTCAGATTTTTGAGAATCCAAAATTATAACCATTCAATAATTGTACTTCACATTATAAGGGTAAACAACTATTTAATTATTACATTTTTTTCTAATACAGATTTCATCAAATTTTGCGTATTCTTACACACAGTATTAATAATGTCTGAAATGTATAAGGTTCTAAAGAGAATTAGAGCACGTTCTATAACAAACGCTTCTATATGGCTCCATTTTAATAAGTAGAAATAGGGAAAATTCATAGTGATATTAATATAGAAAAATGTCGCTATACAGTCAAATGTTTTCTTATTAGATTGCTGGTAAAAAAGACACTAAAAAAATCACGTCTGTCTCAAAGACCTCTGCGTACTTTTAATAATAGTGAGAAAGTGTTAATTCACATACTTGCCAACTGTATTTGAGGTAACTTCGTTTTTATATCAGCGTAATATTCCATCGCTCTAGTAGTTTCCTAACAGGATGTCTTAAATTTCCTGTATTCAAGACGTCGGAAAAAGAACTGATATTTAGATAAGGTTAAAAAAACTCACTAACTTTCTCAGCTGATAGAAACAAGCATCATAGTATTTCAAATAAGATGGATGCTTGATGGTGTTGTCTATATAGCTGACCTGCATTGTCATCCAGGGAAAACAAAGTGTGTTTGTATAAGCATTCTATGCATTCCATGCGTCTGTTCATAACTTGTAAATGGCGTTCATGATTTACAAGTTCATCTGTCTCCAGAATTTTTCATTAGTAAATTCTGTTGTGATCCATGGGTAGTATCAAGATAAATTTGAGTCCGAACCTTTCGGTCATCATATTGGTGGCCCTTTCCTCATCTTGTCATTGTTTTGCATGATGGTGGTCTATCTATGCTTTATTTATTATTACTGTAGGCTCCAAGAGGCTTATCTGCAGTTTTGCTGTGCAATAATCTATGCGCTCAGTCATTTAATCATTTAATCCTGCGTTCATTTTATAAGGAAATGGTTTGCATTCTTCTTGCCTATTTTCATTTTCCCTTGTGATATCGTGGCGCGTGAACTTTTGTATTAACCAACAGAAATATCATAGAACATTCAATAGATCGAATAGTTAAGAGCTACTTTTATTCCTTTAATTTTATTTCCAGTGTCCGTTCTAGATTTTGACATGCAAGAAATGAAAAGTTGATTATTTCTTCTTGGGAGTAGACGTAAATTAAATTTTTTACTTCTAAATTCGTTTGAGCAGCTGTATCACAAATAATAATTGTGAACACCTAATAATATTGGCTAGAAAACATCTGTTTAGAGCGTATTGCCCCCTCTTCCAGCTGACGGAAGTATAAGAACGTTATCATTTATTTTTCCTAATGAATAACTTATAAATAATATATCTTGATATCTCTGATGCTTTCGAATATAAAGATTAAATTATCCGCCAGTTATCTTAATTTCAAAACATAATCAAAGAACAATGATAATGTAATCGTATTTTGATATTAATAGTTTGATGATAACTTCATTAACCAGAACTTCTTCAGACAAATTTCAGAAATCTATCAGTTTGCAATGAGGAAATCAAGATTAAACATCGTAAAAGGAACTTAATCACCATGATCTTTAGTTGATGTCGTATTTCTTTTTATACGCTCTGATAGTCAGGTAACATTTATTTAACTGTATCTCTAGAAGTTATCAAGAAAGTTCAAAAAGGGGGGAGAACAACCAGCTTTTGTCTTGAGCTTAATCGCTTTGAAACATCATTTTAAAGCAAAACATATGTCATTAGCTTAAGTGACACAAACGCAATACGATATTTTTACCTAGGAATAAAAATAGATAGAGTATGGCATTTTGCCAGATTTGACTAAAGAGAACCAAGTTCTGATTTTTAAAGTTATCCGCCAGTTTTTGACAATAAACATCATCCACAATTAAATCAAGATATAGTTTCCCAAGATTCTTTATAAATCAACATAAATTAATTGTAATAAAACGGTCCTCTCAAAGCAAATCTTTCAAAAATTAGATCTTCGCAAACTGAATCAAACATTTGGACCTAAAAGTGAATTGAAATGTTCTATTCGACAGTAAATTTTCTGTTATTCCATCCTTTCGCCTTCAAAAAATATAAGCACAGTACATGGAACGTAAGGTAATCAAAAACCAAGCGGATATAGTAGTTACTATATTTTCTATTTACACTGAATACATTTTTTCTCAAACTCCCTAAACATGATATGGACTTCTTTTCTTAAAATCACCTCTGGCAATAATATTGTTCTTCAGTTCTTTCAGTTTTAAAACTACCTGATCATGAAAGTTACAGTAAACATTTCATACAGTTATTTATATAATCACTGTAATCCTGAAGTTAACAAAATTCTGCCAGTACAGATTATTTCAGTCTCAACTAGTCATCAGTGGAAAGAAGAAAATCTGTCTGCTGCTTCATTCCATTTAGTCTTAATATTGTTCTATAAAACAGATTTATGTCTGCAGAAAGATAAGTTATGTGTGCTTTAATGATCTATGCAATATATAATAAAACATAATTTTCAATAAAAATAATTTATGTGACATCTTTTTAGATCCGTGTTTTCTGAGTTGCAAGTCGTATGATCACTAGGATACAATATTGCGTGGGATCAGGTAAACGGAATAGTATGCATGGGACTGAAAGGTATTTTAATGGGTTTTACAAATTTTATTTCAAGATTTTCATAATCAATATAATCTTTAGGTTATGCTCCTTTCAAGAGTAATATTATTCAATTCTACGAAATAGTGTCCTTATGCAATTACGTAACGAGTAGCTGTTATTTCAACGCAAAATTTGAAATCGTGTAGTATGCGATCTACCGCTTTTGCTTTATTATTTATTTTTGAGATGGCTGCATTAAAACTGATTGTCGTGTTAATTAGTAATTTTTCACGCAAGTCGACATTTAAAAATAAGCGTTTTAGTAGCGCTATCTAAGAAATTAATAATTAACTAAAAGCGGTAAATCGCATACTACCAAATATTTATTTCTATATTCCACTCTTGAAAATTATGTAATGATTGCGAATAGTCAAGAAGACTATAGGGAGTTAGAAATAACAATCAACGGTGTTAAGGGGTGCCCCCCTTGGTACCTTTTTTACTGTTGATATTTTTAGTTGGTGTTTAATTTTAAAAATTTATGACTCCTAAAGACTTCTAGAAAAAATTCTTGCTCCGAAATCGAGTCTATATCTCTTTCATCGGCAGTAAATTAATCACTGCATCAATTGTAGCAACATATAACATCGAAAAATAAATCACCATCGGTCGCAAATTGAGATAACTTAGTTATAAAATAATAGGCCATTGTGATTTCATCAAATACGTTTACTATTCTTTTCATCAAATTATATAGATGATTTCAACTTTTTTTAAGTGACTTCTGCAAATTCATCACTTTTATTATCCTTGAGTACAGTTGATAATAGGTTAACAATATCGTTTTTCTTCGTTAAAAGAGAGCTATTGTGTTCTTTCATTAGAAGATAGTTATTGTGTCTTTTCGGAAATGTAAAACAGATGGTAGAGTGGTTAGAGGAGCGCAGAGAGGGCAGTCTGCCCCGAGTGGCATATTTTTAGGTGCGAAATTTTTTGCGTGAAGCATTATTTTGTAGACTTTAGTCAGGTGGATCGTCGAGACGGATGAGAAATGATCACATTCTAAACAGCCATGCGGAATTAAATTGGATAGAAAGAGAATTTTTATTTTAAATAAAGCATTCTCAAAGATCGCCACATGATTTCAACAGCTACATACTTGTGTTATACTTTGTTTATTCTGTCGAAGCTTTTGAATGCAAATTAAGAATATGAATTAAATAATGATCACGATGACATTACTCGTTAAGAAAAAAGAATTTCAGAGTTTTGTTTCCATCACTGCAAGGAAAATCTAAACAGGAACGTTGAAGGGCAGTCCTTTTAAATTTTTGCTGTTTATTATAAAATACAATCTTCAGAACAAATTTTCAAATAAATATTTTTAATTCAGAAATTTTTCTATACTGTTTACATAACAGCAAGAACAGCAATGTAGCAGACCACTACAAAGATATCGATGGAAAACAAGACAAAATAAGAGTATAATTTCAGATAACTGTAATTAAAGTTTTTCTTCAAAAACAAACGTAGAATTTAAATTTATTCCCCTGCATCAAGAGGGGCGGCAAATTTAGAGACCGCTCCAGTCCTTAAAATCAAAGACCCCCCTACGGGGCAAAATTTCTAGCTACACAACTATAAACAGAATAGTATATTTCTCTGTTCTTTATTTTATCAATTCGAGTATTTATTTATTTCTTTTTTCAAATTTTTCCGCGATGTTTCATTTTTAAAAGCCCATGGTTTAGTTAAAATTTTATATGACTAATATCAACGGTTGAATGAGTCCAGAATTATGCAGTGGGTTATCAAATGCTTTACATAACTATAACTACTACAACTTGGCAATGCATTCCAATGTAAATACAGCGACATCTAGTGGCAATAAATTCAAATTAATCCGAACTTACGCAAATGCAAACCTACCGCAATAATGTGCACGGTAATCAGTTTGTGAGTATGTTATTTTCAACGCTATAACGCATACAGATTGCAGTAGCGGAAACGAGGCTTTAAGCTAACGGTTGTTCATTTGCTGAAGGGGCTGAAATTTAAATGGTAGTAACCATAGTACTTCTACTGATTTAGAAGTATTATTGGTACTGTCATTTTAAGACGTTCCCATTTGCCTTCTTTGATTTTTCTGCTTTAAACGGACAGATAGACTTTGGCGCATACGGAGATAACATCGGGGAACAATCACCCCTCAAACGTATGTGGAAAAATGAAAACTGGCGGAGGCAACGTTATGCGATTCTCTCAGTTATTATCGATGAAAATATGAATCGCATCTCAAGTATGCATCGATCCATGGCTACACCCCATGTATAGATGACAATATAGATCGTATCAAGTATGCACTGACCGATTTCCTGGGCATAATGCTTTGCATAACTATAACTACTACAACTTGGCAATACAATTATTAAATTGTTGTACATCTTTCGACATGAAAATGCAACACACAGTTAAAAACGAACATAAATAGCTGAAAGAGCACTAAAGAAACTTTACCATAATTCTCTCTTCCCGCAAAAAAATCTGTTAGACCACTTTAATCAGGTTGTTCGCTCTATGGTCTCTACGCCACATATCCTCCAGCAGCTGTCAACTGCATTACAGTCAGCAAAGTTCCATATCCCTAAACATTTTCCATTAGCCTACTGATTTCCTCCAACGCCTTCTAGCTGTGTTTACACTGCACATGGTGTTCGTATCCATACTGACTATTAACAGATGGTTATATTAATGTAACTCAATTGTGTAGCTTGTAAAAGTAAATTTTTTACTAACGAACGTGTCAATCCGTTTCAAACTTACTCGAGATTTAAAAAACATTTTGGAAGTAAGTTTCTCTTTCAGTCTAGCAGGTATGATTATTGCAAGCCTTTTAAAGGCCGGGAGAGATTTGAAAATGAACCACATTTTCGTTGTCAAGAACTTAGAGAGACGAAAATAAGCTGATTGGCATTGATGCATTAATTTTAATTGATCGGAGAAATACTATCAGATAATCCGAAGATCTTAAAATAAATGTTGATAACGTGGAAACCTTAATTAAATATTGTCTTAAATTTAGAAAAGTGAGCGCCATGTGACTTTTGATCCTGTCTTCTTTTCTTCCAACACAAAGAAACAAGATTGGTATCAATCACACGACGTCTGCAGCATTGTGAAAAGGATGGCGAGAAGTTTTTAGTCTACAGTAACCTCTGATAAAACATGGACGCACTACTTCATTTCACAGTCAAAACCAACAACACAATCAGTTTCAAAGAAATTTAAGTCTGTGAGTAGTTTATTGAATTTGTGCGAGAATGCACTGAAAAGGCTTCTATTCCTCTTCTAAAAGAAAGTTGCTAGGCATCGAAATGGTGCATTGTAGTAGCAGATAAGTACATAGAAAAGCAATATGAAATCCTTTAACTGTATTCAATAAATAACGTGTAGCTGAGAAATTCCTTCTGAATTTGAACATCTCTCGTAGCTAGCATTTTTAAAGTATGATTTAGGAATTTTTAACTTATCTCCTGAATCCACGAAATGAATTTCTGCACAAAATGTATAATTAGTGGAATTTCTCAAACTACTACTCTTCATGGACACATTTTGTGGCCATTTATTCAACCTAATTCTCGCCTAAGCATTCTCCATTCCATCGAGATAATGAACAGAATGCAGCAGACACGAATTACTAAGAATACTATCACTAAACACTAAATCTCAGGAGGTGTTGGTACAGACAGAAGAATGTAGCTTCATATTTAAAAGGAGTTTATAATTTTCTTCTGCACAGGGTAAAGAAACGGTTCAGTTTCATCCCCCATTACCTTTCTTCTTGCGGTTCATATTCAGAGCTGAACTAACTATTAAACGAAATAAGAACATGCTTAAGGCATTAAGAAAGGTGTCCGCCGATAACATCGCGGCAAAAACATCGCGGACGAAAACGTCGCGGAGAAAACAACGCAAGACGAAAACGTCGTGCTACAAAACATCGTGGGAGAAAACATCGCAGTTCTAAAACATCGCGGTACAAAATATCGTCGTCGAAAATAAAGCGGTTCAAAAACTTTGCAGTTTAAAAACATCGTCGTCGAAAATATCGTGGTAAAAAATAAAGTATCTACAAATCATCGCATGACGATAACATCGCAGACATGCTTTTTTCAGGTTTTAATAATTGTAAATGGATATTCCCATAATAATTTGTGAGCGCAAGATGTAAAGAAGGATAATTTTTACTTTCACATTTTTTTATTAACTAATAAATGTTTTTGCTGAAAAACGTAAGAAGGAAACTTAAGCATAGAAAATTAAATGCAACTTATAGATTATACCTTTCATGAAAATTACCAGTAAAAACTTTATAAAAAATGGGCCTTTGTTAGTTAACTATGTCGTTTTAGAATTCTATTAAGTGCTATAAGTTGCATTAATTTTCTATGCTTAAGTTTCCTTTTTGTTTTCTCAGCAAAAATTTATTGATTAACAAAAAATATGAAAGTAAAAATTATCCTTCTTTCCATCTTGCACTCACAAATCATTACGGGAATATCCATTTATAGTTATTAAAGCTGAAAAAAGCATGTGTGCGATGTTATCGTCATGTGATGATTTGTAGATACTTTATTTTTTACCGCGATATTTTCGACGACGATGTTTTTAAACTGCGAAGTTTTTGAACCGCTTTATTTTCGACGACGATATTTTGTACCGCGATGTTTTAGAACTGCGATGTTTTCTCTTTGCGATGTTTTCTCCCACGATGTTTTGTAGCACGACGTTTTCGTCTTGCGTTGTTTTCTCCGCGACGTTTTCGTCTGCGATGTTTTTGCCACGATGTTTTCGGCTGTAACCTTAAGAAAAGGGGCCACCATAAAAAGAAACTCAGGGAGACGAGAGAAAAATTTCTCACTGCTAGTTTTATCAT